CACACACACACACACACACACACACACACACACACACACACACACACTTTGTGTGCACACATTATCAGGGGCTACACTGAGAATGGCAGCTCCAACCTTTCTCTCGGCTTAGCGCTGGCGCTTTACAGTAATTGCTCACGCGATTCATGACAGAAGCCGCGAGGTTTCGCTAAAGAACATCCACTTTCAGTGCTCCCCTCCCCGACGCTGTCTCTCCCTACCTCTACTATTCTCGTAATTATTTTTCTCACCCGGCCCCGAGGTGGTGTGTGTGTCTGTGTGTATTACCAAGTATTTCATTATGTGCTGATCCCCTTATTCTCTGGTGTGTCTGCCTGAAAGTCTCAGTGGTGTTTTTGAATTCAAAAGAGGCTCTTTATCAGGTAGCTCAAGCTTCTTCAAGGACACCAGGTGCTCCAGACAAGGGATGTGGAGAAGGAAAGACCAATGTATGGATGAAGAAAATGCAGCTCCAGAAGCCGTTAACACCCTCTCAGCAAACACAAGTGTGTTAGAGAATTATAGCCAGGCATTTAGATGCCTTTGAGCTGCTCAGGGCTTGTACTGAAGGTGTGTTCGGACTCAAAAGGAAGGGAATTGGAGCTGGCGTATTTATCTATAGAGTCAATGAAAATACATGAGAAGAAGCAAACAGACTTTATGGAATGGACCTCATCAAATTAGTACAAATTAGTGTCATGGTGAACATCAGTTAGAACAGAACCAAACCAATCTCGGAACACATCGACTGTCGATCTAATGACAATCTAGCCTCTGGGGGCTACGGGCTTTATTTCTGGGGTTCCGGTGTAGCCAGCGCAGATCCGGGCCAAGATTTCTTCTTCTGTTTGCCAGTTATTTTTTACAGTCCAATTAGCAACTTGAGACGAGAAAATGGCGTTAAGATGCGACATCTACGACCAGATTGTTTCACATGTTGCCACATGTTGTCCACAGAGACGGCTTTCCGGCATGCAACCACAGCCCACTCAAATGTACTGCAAACGAAAAAAACAACAAAGTCTTCCGAATTTTATTTCTGACAACTGTTGTCTTTTAGGATCTCTTGTTCTTCAGTATCTCTTTATTGTTCACGTTATTTCGAAATTTGAGGCCAGGCCTTTTTGTGTTAAAAATGGAGAATCGAAATTCTAACATAAAACTGTTTGTAGTGAATCTCTTGTCATGTACAGACTATAGCGGCATGTGATTTGATGGTAAACATTTAGGTGGGAGGGAACTGTTCCCAATGCTGCAATGCTATTTGTCAGGTTGTGAAGAAGCAGAGGCTGCTTTTTTGACGACATCCTTGCAAACTAAATGCCAGTTGACAGCTATTCTGAATAAGTTGTTTATCTCCTCTACACGCTGTTTAAATTAGGAAGGATTTTCTGTTTATTTTGAATAGGCTCTCAACATTACTTTGTTTTTTCCTCTCCTGCACCTTTCCTCTTCCTCCTACCATATCTCCTCCTCCTCCTCCTCCTCATTTTCACCATCCTTTTTTACCCCTTTCTTTATTTCCAGACTGTATCATGCTCTTCATTTCCCACTGCCCTCGTCTTCTTTTCTTACCTCTGAAGTCTTTCTTTACTTTATACTCCCACAGGTGGATTTTGCCTTTATTGTATGGCAAAGCTTTCCGGAGCGTATCGTCGGTTATCCAGCAAGAAGCCACTACTGGGACAATTCCAGGTCCCGCTGGGGCTACACCTCCAAATGGACCAATGACTATTCCATGGTCCTTACGGGGGCAGCTTTTTACCACAGGTACAAAACCCACATGATCTACTGATCAGTCAAGCTTTGCAGTTACTGTTCATTTATTTTGTCATTCAAATGATTCACAATGAACATGAGGTAATCACAATGAAAGACATTCATGAAGACTTGAATTTAACCAAAATACTTGGGTGCATCCAGGAAGTACGGGACGGTGAATCCAATTAACAAAATACTCTCATTTTAGTATTAAGAATAAGTTACTGTTATGGCTGATGTACAAGGTCTGTTACTTAAAATCTTAACACTTTTATGAACATGTATGTTTTAATTCAACCTTACTGTTTTATATTACTTTGTGTATTGTTTACTATACACTGACTAAACTATTGGCTATTATTGATGATCATTTAAAGGCATAACACAGCACAACGACTAATATATGATGATATAATTTAATGATTTGAATTAATAATGAGCCCAGTAAAGCCACTCTTCCAGCACTGTCATTAATTTGCCTGTCAGGTTGATCTATTCCAACTTCACAGATATACTTATTCCTTCCCCACAAGATACAAACCACATTAATAGTCATCTCTCAACAGTCACATTTCATTTATTTTTTTAAGTGTAGTAATAGAGAGGGGCAAATGGGATAGTATGATTGCTCTCCACCTCTCTGCTATCTCTTAAAATGATTGTCAAAACACAAAGCTGGGACTGAAAGAAAAGAAAAGGTAAACCAAAGTATTAAGCAGAGCGGTAAATTAAATGTAGAAGAGCATCGGTCTCTGAACGGATTTGAAGCATCTTGTAATGCAGATAAAAAGCTCCCTCATTGTCCCATTGTGCATCTATTAATCCTTTTGTTATTTAAAACTTAAAATGCCAACAAGATTCATAGAAAAAAATAATAATCGGAGAGTGAAAAGGAAAGAGGGAAAATGTATGTGTGTGTGTGTGTGTGTGTGTGTGTGTGTGTGTGTGTGTGTGTGT